TCTTTGGGCACCTCCCGATTCGATTATGATTCAGAGGGCTGCGATTCGATTAGAAAACGATTATCGATCGATGCATCATATTTTCTATGCAGGATCCCTGGATAAATACTAAACATTTCATTTGTGCATTAAAATCCAAAAGAATCATCTCCTAATCAGCTTAAAATGACTAGTTTACATCCCTAATTTACTTTATTAATGTCATCTGCATGGACCGTAATTTCTTTAACAACCAGTTGTCAGACTCTGAAAACTGATAATAATTATCAGGATGTACAGTGTTTGTACAGGACAGAGCTGTACACCAGTGTAGTCTAAGCTTGTACCTGATGTTCTCAACACTTGACTAGTATGTTAGTTAGTAATGACATACAGCTGATAATTAATATTACTTAACGGATTAATATTACGTTACTAATTTAGCTAACGTTGCATAAATAAATAAATATTTTTAGAGCCTTTCACAGGACCCAAGGACGCTTTACACAGTGACAGAACAACAAAAAGTCATTCAGGATTGAATGCCTGGGTAAAGAGCTGGGTTTTTAGTAGATTTGTGAAAGCTTCAGGGAACATTTCGGGTCTCTGTGGTGATGAGTTCCAGAGGGTTGGGGCTGTGACACTGAAGGCTCTGTCCCCTAAAGTCCCTAGTCTGGGGGACAGAGAGCAAGCTCTTGTACAGCGGAGATGTTAGCTAGTGTTGCGTTTTCAGATTTTGAGAAAGGAGAGGCTGGGTCCAAATCAAAATCAACAAAAAGATTTAATTACAAAATTGGTGAATAAAAAGATGGCATTACAGAACAAACAAATAACACTGCTGTGGACTGAAAAGTTGGTCCTCCTTTCAGATTTACAGCTTTCAGTCAAGTCCTAACAGACTGAGCTAAAGCCGCTTCCAGCAGTGGACTGAGTTGTTTATATCCTCTAGGTATGTGGGCGGGTCCCTTTTCCTCCACATGGCTTCGGTCCATAGTCATTGGTTGTTTGGTTGGTTTCTTCGTCACCAAATAAGGAAGGGTGTACCATTATTGTAATCATTACTTTTGGTCAGACAAAAGAGCACCGATCCTAGACGTGAAACCCCCTTCAATCTTCAGGAATAAACAGTCTTTTGCTCTAAACAAATCATAGAGAACAGGGCTTGTCTACAAAATGGTCGACCCACTATCTTAAGTGTCAATGAAACAGTTAAAACAAAACAGTCCTTCTGGCACTAAACAAAGAGGTGTCAGTTTTCTTCACATTACAAAGAGGATACAAACAATGGTTTAATCAACATTCTGATGCAATCATCTGGCCTAAAATCCAGCAGTTTATATTTTAAAGAAAACGGACAACATTGAAATACATTTGGTAAAAAAATGTCAGCTTTGTTGTAACTTTTTAAACTCTACAAATCCCACCAATAAATGGTGTGAAATCACTATTAGAAGTAGCATAACTATAATTATGTCACTGAAAATAAAAACACATACGTACACATCACAATATGACCCCAAAAATGTGGATATTTTAACAATACAGAAGTTGTTAAATCAAATCATGATTAGAGCAAAGAAATCATCTTCCTCTTCTCTGACCTCACTATCTGACTCTTTCTAAATCTTTTGTGATTCTCTAAAAAGACATTTGTACTGTTTGGTGGGATACAGTTTATTATGCGTGCAGTATTAATAGGCTGAATGGGGGCTGTGGGTGACCTATTTTCTGGAGATGAGACTAGGATTATTGTTATAACTAGAAAAATGATTATGGCTAAAGCTGCTATTGTTCCCTTTATTCCCCAAAACTCTGGGTGCCTAAATTTATTCCCTCCCGTGAATTTCATTTTGTTTTACTGGTGAGACTGAAGTCAAATGAGGTAAATGTGGAAGGGAAAAAGAGTGATTGGGTTTTCCTAAACTACCAGAGTCAAATTATCATAATGCCAATCAAAAATCTATTTTTGTTCACAGCGTGAAAATCAATTCTAACCTCCTCTATTGATCGGGAGGGGGCTTGAGCGGGTGTACAATGTGTAAGGTGGTGCCAATTAGCTCCTTCTATACCTCTAATTTTCAGACTTTCACCCACACCCAATCTCCAGACCCAACAGGAGTCTCTGTTTCGGTCTGTGGTGCTTCGATAGCAGTTTGGACCTGTGAAGACAAAACTTGAGCTAGATTGATGGCGCAATAGGTAAGACACTTGCCTTTGGTGGGAGAGACCCGGGTTCAACCCCTCCCGTCCAACATTGTGTCCTTGAGTATGACACTTAACCCCTAGTTGCTCCAGAGGCAAATTGCTTTGGATAAAAGCGTCAGATAAATGTAAGATTAATAAGGGCCTTAGAAGGTCTTGGAGAGCACCAGCATGTTGGGTCAAAAATCCCTTCCTCTTTGGGTATTGTGTGTACTAATACTAAAAATTAAAATAATAATCTTTATTTGTAGAGCACTTTTCACAAACAAGTTACAAAGTGCTTCAACAAGTGCAAAGACAACAATACAGTACCCAGAAATAATATAACAGAACAACAAAACAAAAATGCTAATTATGTTTTTGATGACACTTGCTTCTGTATTTTAGAAGATCTGGTTTACAAATGCTCACAATGACAGAATAACAGTGTCCTATTAAGTTTTTCCATTTTTATTTTGGACCTGTCCTGGGGCTGGGCGGGGTTGTCGCTGACTCTGGGGTGCTGTCGGTGCTAGAGGGGCTCTTGCTATAAGCCCTGAGCTGGAGGGACCTGGCGTCCTCCTGCTTAGGGGGGTGGGGGACGGGACTGAATGAATGATGGGGCCAGTCAGGAATCTGGTCTCAGTGAGGAGGACCATTCTAGCCTCCCTATGATCTCCTTCACCTTTCCCCCTTTGGTCATGTCCCACAACATACACCCTTAGGACTCTGGGGGGTGGGCAGGCTGCAGGGCGTTTGGTGGGTGGGGCTGCTTTAATGCGGCCTCGCCCTTCTTCCTCCCCCACTGGACTTTAACCTTTGTTGGATAACTATGACCTGGATGACTGAGAATCTTCACAGACAAAACGTCTCATCATGAACAACTTTTTCATGATATTCAGATTTTTAGAGATCCACCTGTACTTCGGAAAGTGAAACTTAAATTCCTCCTAGCATTGTTTCCTTGCTACCTTTCTTCATAATGTGTACTCCTTTCTGTTGTTTAAGTAGTTTTATTGAGTTTAACTCAAAAGTGTGAATTAACGTTCAGAAATGGATATGTTTGTTACACCATAGGCATCACTAGACCCCTGTATCCATGTGCAGTGCCCCAGTATTAAGATTATCAAGACCCCTTAATGTCGTTTTTGGACGTCTAGGCCTCCGCAGGCCAGTTAGCAACAATTGGCAACATCTGCAACGTCCGGTCAAGTTAGCAATAATATACATGCAATGTCCGGTTACACTTTCAAAATAAAACTACTGGTTAAGGTGAAAAGGCATGTTGTTAATGATATGAAAAGTCGCAAAAAAGTGTTGAAAGCGAGTGTTTACAAAATTGATAAGGACAAAGAGGGACTATCCCTCTGAATCCGTGTATGATTCGTTCTTTCATTATTTTGTTTCAAAATCAGAATCGGAAAAAACAAAAAACCAAGTCATTGGTCAGCTAGCTTTTTTCACTGTGGACATTAAGCCAACAGGTTAACACCACTCACAGATTAAAGGCTACCCACCTTTCTTGGTGAAAAACTGGGTTACAGAGTGACATCCTTTACTTTGTCTTTCCTCTCTCTCTTTTCTGTCTTTCCTTTTTGAAAACCAGATTTTGGTTTACTAGGCAACATTGTGTTCAATATGGAGGTTTACTTTTGGTCAATGGGGATTTTTAACTTTTACAAGTAAAAACAAATGCAATCATTTTATTCTTATATTTAAAATATATTTATACTCAGTGATGATGGTTTATATAATGTATAATATAATTTGATATTAGTTGTCAGTCAGGGGCCCTTGGAATTGTCCTAACCTTTCCCCCCAATACGGCGCCCATGTCTGTGTATAGCTGAGTGAGGCTAACAGATAGCAGTCACTCAGCTAGGAGAGCCGCCTGTCAATCAAAGCGGCCACGCCCCTAATAATGCAGAACTTTATAGCTTAATATAATTTAAACAGGTGAGTTATAAAAAAACTCAATTAGCAATATAAAACCAGGCTGTATACATGTTTTATTCTGCTGTAACGTTGGGCATTTTAACATGGGGGTCAATGGAGATTGAATCCCTCCTGCAGCCAGACTCAAGTGGCCACTCGATGTATTACAGGTTTTTGGTCTTCTGGAAGTCTGACGCTTGGTCATAACACTATGTATAGCCTTTAATGTTCACCCAAAGGAACAGATTAGCCTAAGTAGCCTTAATCAAATAAATAAATTGATTTATAAGTTATACAAATGAATCATTACATTAGAATGAATCACAGCATTAACAAGTAATAATGTGAGGCAGAAATACGACAAGTATGAATTTTGTTCAACATTTAGGCTACACTATTTGTTTATTAAGTTTAGCTATCCTTAAAATGACAGTTTTTGAAGGTGACTGGTCTCTATTTCTGGTTTACACTTTCTTGTTCAATTTTTATTGTGTAAGGTGGATAATTGAACAAGCCGACGCTTTGGTGCGCTTAATTGCATTGCACGTCTTCATTCAATGCGACAATAACACAGCAAAGTGTTAACATCGTTTAGGCAGCATCGGCTCTGGAAAAATGAGCTCACACTGTTCAATAAACATTTGCTTTAGAGCAAGTAGGACAATAAAATTAGGAAATACTGTCTGATTCCATCATACAATGTGAACAACTGATGAATTATACTTCATGCACGGACCTTCAAGGTAGTAATTTCTTTTAAAGTCATCTAGTATTTCTGGTAATACATTAACAAATTGCATTCAAGACACACCTAGATTTGCTAAGAACTTTGGCATCCTGTCATCTTCTGACATGCTCTGTTTAAATTGTGTAACCTGGATAAAGCTTACAGTGTTTCTCTTTTAACCCTAAATGGGAACACCCAGTCCCTGAGTATATATAAAAGGTGCAGTATCATCATCACGGAACACTGATCCACAGTACTTACCTGATCATCATGATGAAGCTGATCCTTTCTCTGACTCTCATCTGGGCACTTTCCAGCACAGGTAACTCCACTTATTATCACATTAGAGTTTCTGCAGGGAACTCGATTTAAAGGTTGGAAGACGTTAATTTTGCCTGAAAGCTTTTTTGTTGTTGTTGAAAAGATTAAAAATCTTAATATTAACAGATTATTATTTTTAAATGAACCAGATCCAAAACTTTTAGACTTTATTGATCCTACTGAAAAAAGATTGGAAAGAACTACTGGTTGTAACAGCCATTGTGTCTTTTTAAATGCTTCTGCACAACAAGAAGAAAAACATGTTTCAACATTTATAGATCATCAAAACCTGTAACCCTAAACTCAGACGTTTGATTTGATATTTGACTTGTGATGTGATCATCACTGAATTGTCAATTTTTCTCCCCATTGCAGCTGGAGCCCTTCAGTGTCAAACCTGCGTAAATCTGCAGTGTTCAAGCACAGTACCATTAACATGTCTGACAGAGACCATGTGTGCAACAGCTACCATCCAATGTAATGTTTTCTTGATGTGATCTATTACTACTTTTCAGTGAAATACATGTACTGCAAAGTTACATGTTTTGTCCCCCAACATTAACAAACTGCACTTTGATTTTGTAGCAAATTTATCTGGAACTTCATTAAAGCAAATCATCAAGGCGTGTGCACCATCCTCCGTGTGTCCAGCTACAGGCCCTCAGACATTATCGTTTAACGTGGGTGTTTTGCAGGCAGTTGCATCTCTTCAGTGCTGCAACACAGATAACTGCAACACAGCAACTCTACCTAGTAAGTCCAAATTGATAAGTAGCTCATTTAATTTAAGAAAACAGACAAAATAAAAAACAGAACAAAGAACACTGGCCTCCTGCCATCTACTGACACGTCCTACTTTCACTTTGACACAAATGTTTTCTCTTCCTTAAATAAATTGTCGTTCTTTTCTGTTTCAGTCCCTTCTTCTCAGCCAAACAGCCTAAAGTGTTTCACTTGTAACGCCACCACCTCTCAATGCAACTCATCTCAATTACAATGTCAGGGAGTGGAGGACCGCTGCTTTAAATTGAATGGTGAGTCTTTCTGATAAATAATTGAACATAGTTCGTCTCCACATGGGTTGTGAGATGTGGAAAATCAACCAGTGGTGGAAAGTAATGTTGAGATATTGATACTTTTACTTACATTTCTGTTATATTTTATGTTATACATGTAATATGTAACATGTAATTATATTTCAAATGTAATTATTGTACTTTCACTGCACTACATTTTTATGACAGATATGGCGGCTGGTTACTTTACGGATTAAGATTTTATGACAGATTATTTTACAAGAACGTTATAGATCCAACAAGCCCGCAGTAGGTAAAGTAGCACTAATATAAGTTCCATCCTGACCAGGTAAAACAGCATTAACTAGAAGCTGTCTGGTGAGACTCACAAAATTGAGATTTTTCACATGCTGTGATGCCACACCTCAATTTTCTCACCCAGTGAAAAACAGAATTTATGTATAACTGATAAAGTCAACTTACTGAGCGAATTAACTCTGCCCAGCTGATGCGACACTGGCGTATGCTGTGATAGTAATCAAGTAAACCTGCTCTGCCTGTGAGTCCAGATGGTTCGGTCTGAAGAGGAAACTACCATATGAGCAGAGCAAGAATGTGTAATGTGTAGGGCAGGTAGACTTTTAAAATATTATGAATTGTCATTGATGTTGTTAGTCTTGAAATATTACACCTTTTTCTCGACATGCCACAGATATGTGGGAGAGATTTTGAATGTGCAGAATATTGTGAGCATGAGCACATAAAATGAAATAATTTATCGTTGAGGTGAAAAGGTGCCACATGCACATTTAAAGAGGTTACTTCTCCAAAGAAAAGACACAAAAAAGAGGGAAGACTAAATCATGCCTACATGTGTGTTGACTCAGCAGTGAGTCATGAAAAAAGTTGATCTACAGGAGAAACCAGATCTGTAAGCAACACAAAATGCCCAAGAGCTGCACTAAATTTTATTCTGTCATGTCTTTAAATTTTGAATTGTCACCTGCCACCTAAATTTTGTTTCTTTTACATGGATAAAAACATTTCCACCATACATTGGTGCTGAAAAATTCACCAGAACACAGGAAATGAAGTGAATTTTCATATAATTCAGCATTGGAGAGTCTTAAAAATAGCGTTAAAATCTTGTCTCGTTCTCGTGAACCCAATCACGTGTCTCGTCTCGTGAGCCAAGTGTCTCGTAAATGCTTAACCGTGTAAATTTGAATGAATCGACCAAAGTAACACAGATCAAAATCCCATCCTTTCTTTACTGAACACTTCTGTGTTTTGGCGCTTCAGCCTGCTCTGTTGTTGCAGTGCTGCGCTCCTGTACCACAGCTTGGCTCTACACTTTGCATTTTGCTGCAAATGGAAAGAAAATCTGGGGGATCAGTTAAAGACTTTAACCGCTCTTTAAGTGAGGTAATAAAAATAACATGTACAACTGCCGACTTGTGTCTATATTGCCTACTCTCTCCAAGGTACAGGAAAGAATTGTTTATAGTAATCTAATCAAAAAATCTAATATTCTTGTCCCATTACAGTACTTTAGAAAATATAACACCACAAGTATGACGATTCTCGCTATTGATGAAGGTGACTGCGGAGTTGGAATCTTCCTTGATTTATCAAAAGCATTTGACACTATTGACTTTGAAATTCTTCTCAGCAACCTTCAAAATGACTATGGTGGATACATGACTTAATGCATGCAGTTACCTTTAAATACAAACAAAACAAATGACAAAATCTTCCATTCGAATAGAAATTGAAATAACATTGACCATGTTTTTGTCAAAATAAATGGTAGAGCTATTGAGAGAGTTCCCCAAATTCCTGGGGATACATATCGATGTGTTTATGAACTGATGAAAAAAATGTCCAAATATGTTATTTTTCAAATTGAGACATTTTCTTCCATTCAAAGCAATCGTAACTTTATACAGGTCTTTATTTGAGCCTCACCTAAATTACTGTAATGTCACATGGTGCAATACTTGTTGGAGTTACCCAATGAAAGGACAGATTTTACAGAAGAAAGTAATACGTGCCATTTCATGGTCCAAGATAAATGCTCCCATGGCCCAAAGATTGTTTATGAGGTTATGAAGCTCCACTCTGTTTTTCTGTAGTTCCAACCAATCTAATAGATTAATGTTCTTCTAGTTGATTTCATCACGTCAGGTTAAAGAATGGTTTTCTACCACTTAAATGCTCATCCACCTCATATCAATAATTCAAGCTTTTATACGTTACTATACATGTAATTAGGAACTTCAGTATATGGATAAAGAACCTCTTGAAAAATAAAATGCGTCAGATTTAGTAGCTGTCAGAAATCTGTTTGATCAACATTTAGGTGAATGTAAGTATCGGATCAGATTTGGTGGCAGATACTCAGTATTAAAGGACTTGGATGGGTATCAGGACCAAAAACATGTAATGGTGTAATTGTACATCTTGACATTGTTACTTTAACTTGTGTGAAGGATCTGAATACTTCCTGAAGTTACTTAACAAAAAATAATGTATCTATAGTAAAACATTGTTTTTTTTAATCTTTAGTGACGAATGGAGCCAATACTTCTCCATTCTCTGGCTGTGCATCTGCAAACCTGTGTGCACTTGGTGATAGCCTGAGTAGCCTACCTCTCTTGCAAAGTTTTGGTAACATCAGTAAACCATCCTGTTGTGGGACCAGTTTGTGTAATGCTGTTACAACAACTGCCAGTGACGCCGGCTGTATGAGTCTGCTGCTGGGAGTCCTCATCTTTACCCTCCGTTTTTTTGAAGCCTGATTTTGGGTTTACTGCTCACTTACATGTGAAGTTGGCAGTTAGTGGGGCTAGAAAATCCAAATTAAGAATTCAGGGATGGAGTCTGGATGAAGCTGAGGTGGGACTCAAAGGCAGAAATGATATAGACACAAACACACAACAGAGGGGATACTACCTTTTTCATGGCTTTAATTTACTGGGTACATAATCAAAAGAAATAATAGATTTCTTAATTAAATCAAATTTAATGCTGTAACATTATATTAAATTTGAGGTTTTGTTGCAAATTGTACAATTATATTACTCCATTTTAGAAAAATAAGAATCTTTAATATTAATGTAAGACTCAATATGAGAAGGATTGTTGACACTCTTTATTATTGTTTAACCTTTTGTTGTGAATTATTTTATATTTATTTATTATAGCCTAAATTGTTATCATTAATTACTAGAGCAATGGTGGTCTACATTGTCATCATTTAAAGTGTTATTTTATAGTGTAAAGTTAGGATCACAGTGTGAAAACTCTACAGCTCTGAGTGTGTGTGCTCCTTTCTGTATCTAACTGCCCAGGCACATGTGTGTGTGTGAGCAAGTTCGTGTGCTTTGGGAGAAAAGGGAGGGAGCACAGTGAGGCAGCATCAAAAACACTTGCAAAGGAAAATATAGAAGCAGATTTTGTGAAAATTGTATTACAAAACATACATCAATATAGTCCATCACAGTAAGAATGTCCTGTTTCTAGCATGGAGCACAAACGACACCAGTTTATTCCACAAAAGTCAGGTTATGGAAGAAATGGCATGGCCCAAGTCTTGAATTTTTACACGACATTACTTTTTTGTATCTTATTATGAATTTTATGGATGATTCTTGATCTGCAGTATTTCCTCTGTCTTTATCTGTCTTATATTTTTATCTACTATGTTGTTAAGCACCAATACACCAAAACAAATTCTTTGTATGTTAACCGACTTACCAATAAAGCTGATTTTATTTAAAACAAAATATGTTTTTATGACTTTATTTCATACTTTAAGTGGACTCTGTGTCATCTGGAGACTTTTGTGCTCTGATATTGTCACAGTACAGGTGCAAAATTCAAATCTAATTGCCAGTCAGCAGTGTTGGGCAGTAACGCTTTACTCAGTAACTCGTTAGGCCTACTGTGATTGGTGGATTATGCCTCTGCTCAGCGGCGGATTGGTGGCTGCAGTTCCAGCTGATGGTAAATGATTGGCTAAATAAACTGGAAAGGCTTGTGATCAGGGAGGATAGTGCTGAATTGGTTAAGCAGTTATTTAAAAGACAGGAAACAATTTGTGAAGTTGGGAGATTACACATCTGAATGTGTGGACATTGCGTGTGGTGTCCCCCAGGGGTCAGTGTTGGGACCAAAATTATTTATCCTCTACATAAATGACATATGTAAAGTATCTGATCTACTCAAATTTGTATTATTTGCCGACGACACAAACATCTTTTATTTCTGGTCAGAATTTACAGCAACTCCTGGACTGACTCCTGGTTTGACACAAATAAGTTAACATTAAATGTGAGCAAAACTAAATTCGTGATATGTGGCAATTGTAAATCAATCAATCAAATTCAATTACAGATTGAGGTTGTTAATATAGAAAGAGTGTATGAAATGAAAGTCCTTGGAGTGATTATAGACGACAAGATTTGCCGTAAATCTCACATAAAACATATCTAAACAAAACCGTCTTTAAGTGTTTCAGTCCTGGCTAAAGCTAAGCACATTCTAGATTACAGATCACTCCACATGTTGTATTGTTCACTGGTGTTACCGTATTTAAATTACTGTGTAGAGGTTTGGGGTAACACACATCAAAATCTATTGCAGTTGTTATTTATACTTCAAAAAAGAGCAATGAGAATAACACTGGATATTTGGAACACACCAACTCATTATTTTCACAGTCTAAAGCATTAAATAATAAATAATAATAAATATTGTTATGTATGGGTAATATCTGTATGTGAATAGAACTTTTGAATATATATTCATTGATTACAGATTTATTATCTCTGTACACTTATTATTTTGTAGTTATTTCATTAAATATGGTAGTAAGGGTATAAATGGGTAGGAATACATACGTTTTACTTCTTCCTACCTACTTTTTGCACATGTAAATAGAGGTTTTTAAGTACTGGAAAGCATGGAGTTTCACTTTCGTAGATTATTTTTTAAATTTTCTCCTGTTTACTATAGTTAGTGGGGTCAGTTGTTTGTGGTTGGTTTTCATTTGTTTGTTTGATAGGTTAGCGCTGATTTCTAGTTAGAGGTATTTATCACTACTTGCTTCTCTCTGTTATAAATAAATTCACTATTTATTATTTTAACGTAGTCTAAGTTGTGTTCATGTGGCTCATTGGGACTTGGGGAAGATGGGGTAGTTCCATGTTATGTCTGGGCCCCTAGACCAGGCGTAACAACTGTAACAGCCAATTGTTGTTTATTCAACTAGTGTACTAGTGCAGAGACGTTTTGACTAGTGTAAAGGTGCGTTCCCACCGAAAACGAATCCAGCGTTTTGGGCGTCTTGATTGCATACAAGGTCAATACAAAGAATTTCTGTGATTCGCTCCAGGCGGCGCGAATGAGGCGTTTGTCGCGCAATTCGCTGGTTCGCGCAAGTTCAAATTGTTCAACTTGGGCGAGAAAATTGCTTGAAGAGCTGTTGCGAAAACCTATCAGCGGTGAGATTGTCCAAACGTCACCAGCGGCTACGAAGCGTTGTTTGGAGAGGACCAGGCGAGCGGTGTAATGACACTGGCCAATGGGGAGCTGCTAAAGAACGTGGAAGTGGACGGGGAGCAGCGCTGCAGCTTTCAGATAAACACCAGTAGTCGGTCTTGATTCTGCTCTGACAACTACGCCGTTTACCAGCGGGAGGAGATCAGAGTTAACTGGTTTTATCAAATTAGCTTTTTACTTTAGTCTTTGGAATTACAACTTGATTTATCTTCACACACGCTTGTCGGCAACTAGCTTCCGTGCACATCCGGTTCCACTGTTGTTGTTAGTGTCGGATGGCACCAGAGTTCTGCAGGTTCAGAGTTCATTTTTATATAAAAGCTGGACATTACTTGGAGAAAAGAAAGCGAGGAATGTGAACTACCTGATCGAGTTTAGAAAATGTGTGTCTGTAACTTTATTCCAGCTGTCGTTGTACTTTACTGTGTACAGGGTTAGCGTAGCATAGCCCTGATCAATCCGAACTCCATTCAGAAAACACGTATTTTGAAAGTTGTCGTCCTGCTGTCTTGCTGACAAAGCATGAATTCATATTCATATTGTAGTTATTTCGGCATCAGTTTGATCCGTTTATTGCAATTAAATCACAGCCAAGGGTTTACTTTGTGTTCATATAGCTGTAGTATTCACGGGCTGTGTTTATTTGCTTAATGTCCAGCAGTCAAACTCGCTCAAGTACAGCGAGGCGAATATTGAATTCGCTTTTGTTGGGAACGCACCTTAAGGGATTACTACACTATATTACCAAAAGTATTAGGACACCCCTCTGAATCATTGAATTCAATCATTCAGTTGTTTCAATCACTCCCAGGATTCTCAGGAACTCAAGCATGGTACAGTGTAGGTTGCCACCTGTGCAGTAAATCCATTCTGTAAATTTCCTCACTACTAAATATTCCATGGTGAACTGTTAGTGGTATTATTTCAAAGTGGTCGAGACGCCGGACCTTATGATGTTCAAGTCGGCTGCTAGCCAAAAAGCTAAAAGAAGAATGGAAGAAGAGATAGGCGTTCTACAGAGGTCTGGCGTTCAGTATGGTTAAGACCTACGCTGCCGACATCTTGTCCTGTCAGGTTTTGGTGAAAGTACAGTGTACTCTCACCCAGTGGTGTTGTGGCCTGCACAGTGGGATTTGGCGCTGGTTTTACGCACCCTGACCAGCGATCTAGCTGCCCTCTCTGTGTCTCCCGTCATGCCTCAGGATCTAGGGTGATGGCAGCTCAGCTGTCCTGCGCCCTAATCCTGCTTTATGCCTCAGAGCTTCTTTCCTCCCCCCATGGGTCTGAGGATGGAGCTGTCCCACCTCCTCTGCCCTGTGTGCACGCTGTCCTGCTACGTGGCCCGCACGGCCGGCTGGCATCATTCGCAGCTCCTGTTCGTGCACTACAGGGGACAGTCCAAGGGGCAACGAGCTACAGAGCACACACTGTTTAATAACCACAAGCACATCCACACAATTAAACAGGTAGGCCTACTCAGCGGCGACCTGTCCCCGACATGATAACAGCCTTTAAAACAGCAGCACGGCAGCCACTGAAAAAGCACTTGTAAAGTTACTCACTTATTTGAAAGGCCTTCGACGTGCCTGCATTGAGCAATGTCCTCAGTCATCCAAAACTTATTTGAGAGCTTTGCAACCCTCTCCTCCTGTTCTTTTCTCTCCTGACTCTTCTTGAAACAACTTTTATGTGTGAATAGCATGGCTGCTTGCTTGCACGTGTGCTCCGCTAGTCTACTTGTCAGATTTTGTGTTTCACTCGGTTTCTGGAGTCTTGTCACATGATCAAATAGAAAGATTGGGCAGCCATATACATATTACCCAGCATTCATCACTTAATTTCTTGGCTATGTGACACAAATACCAAAGAAAATAAGATTAAAATCATTCTGTTGAATTTGTGGAATCAATTGTTTTATATTTTACCGTATACCTTATAGCCTACCGCTTGCTACACCACCTGTGGGTAGTTTTACTTTTGTCTACCCACAACAGTCTGTAGTGTCAGACACCACGGCAAAGGGGGAAATGCACATTTGAGTGCATATATAGCACTTGATCTATTGAGCAAACTTCAATTTTAAGGTGAAATCTGTGTTCACATTGATTGACGAGACTCAATGCACATTTATTACATTAACAATAAGCTATGTAGAGTGGAAAATTGTGTTAGTATCATTTTATAATAGTATGCTGGTTTCTCTTAGTGTAGCATCCCGTTGGAAAATGAAGAACTTCACTGAGGGTCTTAAGATTTTTAATTTGCTGCCTTGTACTTCAACAACAATGTAATTGCTAAACAAAAATGTGCAGACATAAGGCAACATAGTATAACTCCTTTAGGATTACATTGATTGATTAGTAACGCATTAGCATGATCAAAATATTTCAAATCATTATGCAGAAATATACATTTAAAATACATTGTTGTGACATGACATGGAAGCTATTTAAATAAATGATGCTTTTCCCATAACAAGGTTTTAACAATTGTAATTTATTGATGGTCCCTAAGCTGACCCCCGGTGGTTTAAAGCGAGCTATCGGAGGTGAACTGAGTAAGAAGCCGTCACCAGATCCTGGGTGAATGTCTGTCGAATACCCAACTTAAAACTAACTTCACCACGGTACAAACTCCATGAAGTCTCTATAGCTGTTAGAGCCGACTGACAGCTGTCGCCATCATCACAAACGGACGTCGCTTCTTGTGACG